TGAAGCCATTGTGTGGCGAAACGTTTCTTCAATAAAGATTCCCATGTGTTGTATAAGTGTCTCAATTCTTCAGCTCTTGCTCCTTCTCCAGATCCAGCTCCACCAGATCAGAGTTCCCATATTATGAAGGAACCTAAGCAGAGATCTGCGATTAATAGCTCCTGTAGCTGGAGATACTTTCGTCTGGTGTGCCATAGTTGCTTCAACCCTTAGCACTCGGTTCGCTGGTTGGGAGGCAGCCTATATGGGAGTGTGATATACACCGAATAAATTGTAACATACTCTTTGCATGTCACAGTAGCAAAGGTTTGGTAGACAACAAATTATCACTACACCTCGGGAAAACGGAAGCCATAATTTTTTGCACGAAACATAGGTTGAAAAGGGTATATAATTTTAATGTCCAGTGTAATGGGGAACCTATTATTACAGTAAATTCAATAAAATATCTGGGAATTCTTTTGACTAAAGCATATCAGGAGAACTAAGAGGGAACAATGTAGTATAAAAAGCGAATGCCAGACCAAAGTTCCACTACAGACAGGCACAATGTCTACCTACTGAGGCTCGCAGGACACTATGTCTATCTCTTACACAGTGTATTATAGACTACACTTCCTCTCCATGGTTCTCTGCCTTGAAAAAGAAAAACTGAAAGATAAGCCACAAATCATCCAGAACAAAATGGTGAGATTTATTCCGGACCTGAGTCCAAGACAGCATGTTGATCACGATGAATTACAACATACTGAACATACTGAACATACTCAACATACTGAACATACAGAACATACTGAACATACTGAACATACTGAACATACTGAACATACTGAACATACTGAACATACTGAACATACTGAACATACTCAATGTTGAAGACAATAAAACAACAAAAGATTAATTATATTTATAAAATTGCTCACAGCAAGTGTCCCCAATATCTTACTGCCAATTTTGTTAAGGTCGGGAACCAACGTAGTTATAGAACTAGGGGAAGGAACTAGGGGAAGGAACTAGGGGAAGGAACTAGGGGAAGGAACTAGGGGAAGGGAGGACAACTTTGTAGTAACTTGAGTCAATGGTCAGGCTTCTTGAACTGGCTCATAGTATGAGCCAGTTCAAGAACACAGCCAAATTGTACCTCGTGGATAAGGCTGCAGTAAGGGAGGAAAGTGATTTCTTGTATATCTAACATTATATATATATATATATATATATATATTTTATATATATATATATATATATATATATATATATATATATAATATATATATATATACATATATATATATATATATATATATATATATATATATATATATATATATATATATATATATATATATATATATATATATACATATATATATCTTTCTTTCAACACACTGGATGTATCCCACCGAGGCGGGGTGGCCCAAAAGGAAAAATTAAAGTCTCTCATTTTACATTAAGTAATGTATACAGAAGAAGAGGTTACTAGCCCCTTGCTCCGAGCATTTTAGTCGCCTCTTACAACACGCATGGCTTACGGAGGAAGAATTCTGTTCCACTTCCCCATGGAGGTAAGAGGAAATAAACAAGAACACGAACAAGAACTAGAAAGAAAATACAAGAAAACCCAGAGAGGGGTGTGTATATATATGCTTGTACATGTATGTGTAGTGTGACCTAAGTGTAAGTAGAAGTAGCAAGACTTACCTGTAATCTTGCATGTTTATGAGACAGACAAAAGACACCAGCAATCCTACCATCATGTAAAACAATTACAGGCTTCCGTTTTACACTCACTTGGCAGGACGGAAGTACCTCCCTGAAAATAACTAATTTAACCTCTCCCCTAGTATATCTTTTACTGTAACTGCTTTTACATAGTTAAAATATATGTAATACTTATTACAAGGACACCAAAGGAAATAAATCACGTTGACTTTTTTGTATTATCCCAAGTTGTCTACACATATGTTGCTATGTATGATAATCTATGTAACTGTATTATCCCAAGTTGTCTAAACATATGTTGCTATGTATGATAATCTATGTAACTGTATTATCCCAAGTTGTCTAAACATATGTTGCTATGTATGATAATCTATGTAACTGTATTATCCCAAGTTGTCTACACATATGTTGCTATGTATGATAATCTATGTAACTGTATTATCCCAAGTTGTCTACACATATGTTGCTATGTATGATAATCTATGTAACTGTATTATCCCAAGTTGTCTACACATATGTTGCTATGTATGATAATCTATGTAACTGTATTTGTGTATACCTGAATAAACTTACTTATTTCTGTTGGTGACAGCAGTGATAGTGGTGGTGACAGCAGTGATAGTGGTGGTGACAGCAGTGATAGTGGTGGTGACAGCAGTGATAGTGGTGGTGACAGCAGTGATAGTGGTGGTGACAGCAGTGATAGTGGTGGTGACAGCAATGATAGTGGTGGTGACAGCAGTGATAGTGGTGGTGACAGCAGTGATAGTGGTGGTGACAGCAGTGATAGTGGTGGTGACAGCAATGATAGCGGTGGTGACAGAAGTGATAGTGGTGGTGACAGCAGTGATAGTGGTGGTGACAGCAGTGATAGTGGTGGTGACAGCAGTGATAGTGGTGGTGACAGCAGTGATAGTGGTGGTGACAGCAGTGATAGTGGTGGTGACAGCAATGATAGCGGTTGGTGACAGAAGTGATAGTGGTGGTGACAGCAGTGATAGTGGTGGTGACAGCAGTGATAGTGGTGGTGACAGCAGTGATAGTGGTGGTGACAGTAGTGATAGTAGTGGTGACAGCAGTGATAGTAGTGGTGACAGCAGTGATAGTAGTGGTGACAGCAGTGATAGTAGTGGTGACAGCAGTGATAGTGGTGGTGACAGCAGTGATAGTGGTGGTGACAGCAGTGATTGTGGTGGTGACAGCATTGATAGTGGTGGTGACAGCAGCGATAGTAGTGGTGACAGCAGTGATAGTAGTGGTGACAGCAGTGATAGTAGTGGTGACAGCAGTGATAGTGGTGACAGCAGTGAGAGTGGTGGTGACAACAGTTATAATGGATGTGACAGCAGTTATGGTGGATGTGACAACAGTTATAATAAGTGTGACAGCAGTTATGGTGGATGTGACAACAGTTATAATAAGTGTGACAGCAGTTATGGTGGATGTGACAACAGTTATAATAAGTGTGACAGCAGTTATAATAAGTGTGACAGCAGTTATGGTGGATGTGACAACAGTTATAATAAGTGTGACAGCAGTTATGATGGATGCGACAACAGTTATAATAAGTGTGACAGAAGTTATGGTGGATGTGACAACAGTTATAATAAGTGTGACAGCAGTTATGGTGGATGCGACAACAGTTATAATAAGTGTGACAGCAGTTATGGCGGATGCGACAACAGTTATAATAAGTGTGACAGAAGTTATAGTGGATGTGACAACAGTTATAATAAGTGTGACAGCAGTTATTGGTGGATGTGACAACAGTTTATAATAAGTTTGACAGCAGTTATGGTGGATGCGACAACAGTTATAATAAGTGTGACAGCAGTTATGGTGGATGCGACAACAGTTATAATAAGTGTGACAGCAGTTATGGTGGATGTGACAACAGTTATAATAAGTGTGACAGCAGTTATGGTGGATGTGTCAACAGTTATAATATGTGTGACAGCAGTTATGGTGGATGCGACAACAGTTATGAAAAGTGTGACAACAGTTATGGTGGATGCGACAACAGTTATAATAAGTGTGACAGCAGTTATGGTGGATGCGGCAACAGTTATAATAAGTGTGACAGCAGTTATGGTGGATGTGACAACAGTTATGATAAGTGTTACAGCAGTTATGGTGGATGCGACAACAGTTATAATAAGTGTGACAGCAGTTATGGTGGATGTGACAACAGTTATAATAAGTGTGACAGCAGTTATGGTGGATGCAACAACAGTTATAATAAGTGTGACAGCAGTTATGGTGGATTTGACAACAGTTATGATAAGTGTTACAGCAGTTATGGTGTATGCGACAACAGTTATAATAAGTGTGACAGCAGTTATGGTGGATGCGACAACAGTTATAATAACTGTGACAGCAGTTATGGTGGATGTGACAACAGTTATAATAAGTGTGACAGTAGTTATGGTTGATGCGACAACAGTTATAATAAGTGTGACAGCAGTTATGGTGGGTGTGACAACAGTTATAATGGATGTGACAGCAGTTATGGTGGATGCGACAACAGTTATAATAAGTGTGACAGCAGTTATGGTGGATGTGACAACAGTTATAATAAGTGTGACAGCAGTTACGGTGGGTGTGACAACAGTTATAATGGATGTGACAGTAGTTATGGTGGATGTGACAACAGTTATAATAATAAAGTTATAATAAGTGTGACAACAGTTATGGTGGATGTGACAACAGTTATAATAAGTGTGACAGCAGTTATGGTGGATGTGACAACAGTTGTAATAAGTGTGACAGCAGTTATGGTGGATGCGTCAACAGTTATAATAAGTGTGACAACAGTTATGGTGGATGTGACAACAGTTATAATAAGTGTGACAGCAGTTATGGTGGATGTGACAACAGTTGTAATAAGTGTGACAGCAGTTATGGTGGATGCGTCAACAGTTATGATAAGTGTGAGAGCAGTTATGGTGGATGCGACAACAGTTATAATGGATGTGACAGCAGGTATGGTAGATGTGACAACAGTTATTATGGATGTGACAGCAGTTATAATGGATGTGACAGCAGTTATGGTGGATGCGACAACAGTTATTAGTGTGACAGCAGTTATGGTGGATGCGACAACAGTTATGATAAGTGTGACAGCAGTTATGGTGGATGTGACAACAGTATGATAGGTGTGATAACACTTATGGTGAATGTGACAATAGTTATAATGGATGTGACTGAAGGTATGGTGGATGTGACAAGCAGTTATAGTGAAGGTGTGGAGCAGGTAATTAATGGTATAACATTATCAACAGATACTATAAGATCACGTGTGTCACCAGCACACTAACAGAAGAGGGCATCCAGAACATGATCGTTGGTCTAGCAGAGCGCAGTGTGGAGGTAGGGGCAGGACTGGTAGTACACACCACTGTCACTCTCACTAAGGTCCAGAAGGATAAGCTGCACTCCCTGGCTGCTGACGTCCTCTACTGTTACTTTAAAAAAGTTAGTATCTCTTCATTCATTGACTTCCACTTATGCTACTACTTCCACCACTATATTATTATTACTATTATTATTATTATTATTATTATTATTATTATTATTATTATTATTATAATTATAGAAATTATTACTACAGACTTTGCAAAAGCATTTGACAAATGCGATCATGGCGTAATAGCCCATAAAATACGTGCTAAAGAAATAACTGGGAAAGTGGGGAGATGGATCTTCAACTTCCTAACAAATCGAACACAAAGAGTAGTGGTCAACAGAGTTAAATCGGAGGCTGCCATAGTGAAGAGCTCTGTTCCACAAGGCACAGTACTCGCCCCCATCTTATTCCTTATCCTCATATCAGACATAAACAGAGATATACACCACAGCACCGTATCATCCTTTGCGGATGATACTAGGATCTGCATGAGGCTGTCATCTGCTGAGGACGCGGTTAACCTCCAGAAGATATAAACAAAGTTTTCCAGTGGGCAACGGTAAACAATATGATGTTCAATGAGGACAAATTCCAACTACTCCGTTATGGAAAACTGGAGGAGATAATAACTAGAACAGAGTATACTACTGACTCCGGCCATACAATAGAGCGGAAAAATAATGTAAGGGACCTGGGAGTAGTAATGTCTGAGGATCTCACTTTCAAGGATCACAACAGTGCCACGATCGCACGTGCAAAGAAAATGATAGGATGGATAATGAGAACTTTCAAAACGAGAGATGCCAAGCCCATGATGATCCTTTTCAAATCACTTGTTCTCTCTAGGCTGGAATACTGCTGTACATTAACATCTCCATTCAAAGCAGGTGAAATCGCAGATCTAGAGAGTGTACAGAGATCCTTTACTGCACGTATAAGTTCTGTCAAGCACCTTAACTACTGGGAACGCTTGGAAGCACTTGACTTGTACTCGTTGGAACGCAGGAGGGAGAGATATATCATAATCTACACTTGGAAAATCTTGGAAGGAATGGTCCCAAATCTGCACACAGAAATCACTCCCTACGAAAGTAAAAGACTGGGCAGGCGATGCAAAATGCCCCCAATAAAAAGTAGGGGCGCCATTGGTACACTAAGAGAAAACACCATAAGTGTCCGGGGCCCAAAACTGTTCAACAGCCTCCCATCAAGCATTAGGGGAATTGCCAATAAACCCCTGGCTGCCTTCAAGAGAGAGCTGGACAGATACCTAAAGTCAGTGCGGGATCAGCCGGGCTGTGGCTCGTACGTTGGACTGCGTGCGGCCAGCAGTAACAGCCTAGTTGATCAGGCCGTGATCCATCGGGAGGCCTGGTCATGGACCGGGCCGCGGGGGCGTTGATCTCCGGAATAACCTCCAGGTAACCTCCAGGTACTATTACTTTTACTACTACCACCACCAGCACCACCACTACCACTAATACTTCTACGACTACCTGCATCACTATAATAATAATAACTATTTTTTCAAGTACATGTACAAGTTATACAGGCATAGCTGACATCAATGACATACTAATATAAAGAAAGCCACTTGTTAAGCTCAGCATTTCCCGCAAATTAGGTCAATATTGTCCCAGGATGCGACCCACACCGCTCGACTAACACCCAGGTACCTGTTTTACTGCTGGGTGAACATAGACAGCATGCGACCCACACCGCTCGACTAACACCCAGGTACCTGTTTTAACTGCTGGGTGAACATAGACAGCATGCGACCCACACCGCTCGACTAACACCCAGGTACCTGTTTTACTGCTGGGTGAACATAGACAGCATGCGACCCACACCGCTCGACTAACACCCAGGTACCTGTTTTACTGCTGGGTGAACATAGACAGCAGGTATCTTAAGGAAACACATCCTAATGTTTCCACAAGTGCTACTATTACTACCACCACTACTACTACTACTACTACTATTGCTACTTCTACTACCACCACTATGACTACTACAACTACTACTAGTACCACCACCACTACTACTACTACTACTACTACTACTACTACTACTACTACTACCTCTACTACCACCACCACTACTTCTGTAAGGGTTCTGGAGATTGCTAAAGACAATCAAGTTAAAAGACTGTATAAAGATACTTATCTTAAGTGACAGCTGAGCGTCCCTGCAGGCACCCGGGTCGTTGTCTTGAGGAGAGGTATATGTTCCAGCTCTGGCCTCTGCGAATTCAAGTAAGCATAAGTACGTAATTTCCCCAAAGGAGCGTATATTTCAGCATTTCAATTTAACATAATGCTAAATAGATGGACAGTTACTTTTTTGGGCTCAATGGCCCATAGATAACGAGGTGTATTGGTAAATCTAGACATGATACGACCTAAATATCTGTTGCACATTCGTCCTAACTAGGTGCATGACTGTCTAGACTTACCTGGATATTTGTATCTGGCCCGCTACACTGTTACGCTACACTGTTCTTCAAGACATGTCCTTTCATGGTAATTTCACAACAGGAAGATAGTTAACTTCACTGTAATAGTTCTACCACGAATTGTTGAGATTTTCACTGAGAAACAAAAATGCACTGATCACTATTGCTGTTTGTCTGTTCTCCCTGCGTGAAGCACATTTCCCAGTCCTCTCACTGTGCCCTGCGTAGCGCCCTCAGCCCTCACTTCGCCCTCTTTACAAAGGATTTGCTGAATTCATTGTTATTACTCTTCCTTGCTAAACACTACAACAATATTCAATACAAGATAGCAGATTTCTCAACTTAAGACTTACCCAGTGTTTTACGATAGTCTCAACTTGTAATTAAAGTGATGCAGGGTTTTCCTGTAAATTTCCTACTTCTGGAAAGAGTCATTTTTCTGGGTCACTCACATTACATGAACACTTGGTGCAACACGAGGTGGCGGCGTGACTCACTGTGACGCTCTTAGCCTCATAAAGAATCAATTAAATTGTTGATAAGAAAGCAAAACGCCATTTGCCCCTTCTGGGAGGTGTTGTCACTCAAGTCCTTCATGTGGGGCTGAAAGGGGCTGATACCCCCTTTTCTGGAGAAATTTTCTCCGCAACGAGTACTGCTACCTCTACTACTACTACTACTACTACTGCTACTACTACTACCACTGCTACTACTACTACTACTACTACTACTACTACTACTACTGCTACGACTACTACTACTACTACTACTACTACTACCACCACTACTACTACTACTACTACTACTACTGCTACTACTACTGCTACTACTACTACTACTACTACTGCTGCTGCTACTGCTACTTTTACTACCACAACTACTACTACTACTGCCACTTCTACTACCACAACTATTACTACTGTTACTTCTACCACCACCAAAACTACTACTACTACTACTATTATCACCACCCCAATTACTACTACTACTACTATCACCACTACAATTACTACTACTACAAGTTACAGGGTAAAGTTTTTTTACTATGACCTCTAGCCAGATGTTTTGTTCAATAACTTTTGTGCTCTCGTAGCCACAGGAAAAAGAAGACAAAGGAATCGTGAATTAATTTCTCTCTTTTTTTTTTAGATAACTTGTGTTTCAAGATGTTTTCCTTTAAACATTTTTAATTGTGCAATAACATGTGATCACGGATCTTTCTGATTATTTTATCATGTAAAAATGTTCCTAGAATTTGTTTTATAACAAAAGAGAATAGAGTGACATACATTTCATAGCGCAGCAGTAATTCCGAGATATCTTAATCGGTTTGGGCAGTTCGTCTTGAAGCTCCAATGATTGTTTTCTATATCACAAATTCTGATTTTACGATACTTAAAACTATTTCAGAAGATAATGTAATTGTAGGAAGTAGGTTGGTAGACAGCAACCACCCTCGGAGGTACTACCGTCCTGTGGTAGTAGGTTGGTAGACAGCAACCACCCAGTGAGGTACTACGATCCTGAGGAAGTAGGTTGGTAGACAGAAACCACCCTCGGAGGTACTACCGTCCTGTGGAAGTAGGTTGGTAGACAGCAACCACCCAGTGAGGTACTACCATCCTGAGGAAGTAGGTTGGTAGACAGAAACCACCCATGAAGGTACTACCATCCTGTGGTAGTAGGAGGCTGGTAAACAGCAACCACCCAGGAACGTGCTACCATCTTGTAGTAGTAGGTTGGTACACAGCAACCACCCACGGAGGTATTACCATCCTGTGGGAGTAGGCTGGTACAGAGCAACCACTCAGGGAGGTACTACCGTCCTGTGGTAGTAGGTTGGTAGACAGCAACCACCCAGAGAGGTAGTACTATCCTGTGGTAGAAGGTGTGGAGAAATTTTCTCCAGGAGGGGAGTATTAGCCCCTACAACCCCTTTCAGCCCTGAGGGGCCCAGCCCTCTCTCAAGGGGCAAACGTCTTATTTACTGCTACAGCAAGTAATTGATCCCAAATGCAGTATGAGTATGTGATGTGGTCAAGCGACCGACGCTCCTTGCAAAGTCCAATGTTGCGAAGTGTAGTTTAATAAAAGACAGTCCATCTCTTACATTAGCAGGACAATTAAGGAAAATCCTGCTCCCACTTTATTACCATGGTAAAGATAGTGTACATTGTTGTCTATGCTTAAGACAGCAAGAATCAAACATTCTGCTTTGCTTCATGGAGGAAGTTTGGCAAGGAAGCAAAAGTACTAGGTCAGCTTTTCCTTTATGTTCGAGGGGCACTGGAGTGGCGTAGGATGCTATGAGGTCAGATTACTTTTGACTCTACTGAGAGTCACACTGACGCCAGGATAAGCAACAAAGAACACTGATCCGTGTGTTAATGTGAACAAAGTGTCTCTCACAAAACACAATAAACACTTACACAGAAGTGTGATCAGCTTCTTCAATGATAAGATTGTGAACAATAAAGACAAATCTTGTGGAACATAGTGTACTAGTGTGAGTATTCCTAGACTACGGAAGATGTGGACATCCAAGGACACTTCAGCTTCTATCAAGTCACCGATACCTGTCGAAGGTGTGAAAAACACCATAGCTCAAGCTACAAGAGCAAGGTAGGTTACAGATTTCTTGTAGAATGGGGAACGTGCAGTTCTTGTATCGCAAGGAGTTTGTAACCAGCCTACAGTCGGCAGTGAGGTGCGGACTTTTGAGTCCACACAAGTACGTACGTCAGCCATCAGTGAATGAAATATGCTGACATAACACCCCCTAGGGGTAATTTATGATTAACATAATATAATCATTTACAGCCATAGTGAAATGGATGACAGCTTCTCAAACCTTTGTCCGCAGGGGCGGCTGTGTGGACGATGAGCTGTCTTATCAGCTAAGTACTCCCATTTAATCTTTTACCTTAGCTGGTAAACCATTTCTCAACAGAAGGCTGGTAGACAGCAACCACCCAGGGAGCTACTACCATCCTGTGGTAGTAGGTTAGTAGACAGCAACCACCCAGGGAGGTACTAACATGATTTGGTAGTAGGTTGGTAGACAGCAACCACCCTGGAATGTATTACCATCCTGTGGTAGTAGATTGGTAGACAGCAACCACCCAGTGAGGTACTAACATGATGTGGAAGTAGGTTGGTAGACAGCAACCACCCAGTGAGGTTCTACCATCCTGAGGCAGTAGGTTGGTAGACAGAAACCACCCAGGGAGGTACTAACATGATGTGGTAGTAGGTTGGTAGACAGCAACCACCGAGGGAGCTACTACCATCCTGTGGCAGTAGGTTGGCAGACAGCAACCACTCAGGGAGGTACTACTATAATGTGGTAGTACCTCCCTGAGTGGGAGGTACTACCATAATGTGGTAGTACCTACCCAGGGAGGTATTACCATCCTGTGGTAGCAGGTTGGTAGACAGCAACCTCCCAGTGAGGTACTACCATCCTGAGGTAGTAGATTGGTAAAGAGCAACCACCCAGGGAGCTACTACCATCCTGTGGTAGTTGGTTGGTATACAGCAACCAACCAGGGAGGTTCTATCATAATGTGGTAGTAGATTGGTAGACAGCAACCACCCAGAGAGGTAGTACCATCCTGTGGTAGTAAGTTGGTAGACGGCAACCACCCAGGGAGGTACTAACATGATGAGGTGTTAGGTTGGTAGACAGCAAACCACCTTTCGAGGTAGTACCATCCTGTGGTAGTAGGTTGGTAGACAGCAACCACCCAGTGAGATACTAACATGATGTGGTAGTAGGTTGGTAGACAGCAAGCACCCAGTGAGGTACTACGATCCTGAGGTAGTAGGTTGGTAGATAGAAACCACCCAGGGAGGTACTACCATCGTGAGGTAATAGGTTGGTAGACAGAAACCACCCACGAAGGTATTTTATACCATTTTAATATTCACTCTGTCAGACACTGCAACACAATGGTACCTTGGTACAGAACAGAAAACAACTTGGACAACTTCTACTAGTGAGAATGGCTTGTTGCAACCCCTGAATGGGTTGCAATGTTTAAATGTATATATATATATATATATTATATATATTATATATATATTATAATATATAATAAAATATATATATATAAAAATATATAAAATTTAACCTTTTTCAAAAATTTTTTATATTGCTTGTATTTCGATAATACAAACGTAAATTATTGCTTTAAATTTTATTTGACTTAGTTTCCCTTTTGGTGAGGAGTTTAAACATTGTGCTCATTCAAGTCTTGATTTTTCTAACTACGAATTATCGTTTTGTGGCTCGTAGACTGCCGGCTTTTGTTTTTTTGACTGCAGCTGTCCAGGGAGTTATCACGTGACGAGGGGGGGTGCCCTCACCTCGACTGAAGTATTCATCGGGCAACTCTCTTGGTTTTTGGACTATCCCTACAAGAGCCAAATCCCCTTATTGGCCCTTGTTGGGGGATCGTCTCTGTAGCTTTTTTTAGTTCTGTAGAACTCTTTTCACAGAACATTGTAAGACTAGTGATTTTCGACTTTGACGGGGTTTGTGTTGCATAGACACTCGGTCCGGCTGTACTTCTGCCCTAACTGTATGGTACTGGATTATCACAGTCGGGGATTTTCTTATGCTGAACTTAGATTCGGGGGGAAGAAAGCCAGCAAAGAACTACAACCGATAGCACAACATCCCAAATCAAAAAATTTTTGAAAGGGTCCTAAGAACAAGATCACCACCCACAAAAACCCATCATTTTTACACAACCCGGGGCAACAGGGTTAGAACGGGTCCTCCTGTCTGTCTCAACTTTGGATCACTACACAAGTCCTAAGCACAGAAGAAAAAAGAATGCGATATAATTACACAGACTTTAAAACCCTTTGACAATGTGACCATGGCGTAACAGCGCACAAAATGCGTGCAAAGGAAAACGGGAAAATGGGTCGATGGATCTAAATTTTCCTCACACAAACAAGAAGTAGTCGTCAACAGATAAAGTCCGAGGCAGCTACGGGGAAAAGCTCTGTTCCACAAGGGACAGTACTCACCCCCATCTTGTTCCTCTTCCCATACCACAAGACAAGGATGCGCCAACACTGGTCTTCCCTTTTCGGAAAAACCCGAACTCATGACGGGCTTCCATTTTCAGACCCCTGCAAGGCTCCAGGTGGACATCAACCGAATCTTTCAGTGGGCTGCAGAAAACAATATAAGTTCAACGATGAAAATTTCAATTTCCAATAGGTAAAAAAAACGAGGAAATTAAAAATTTTCATCAAGACAAAACAAATTTGGCCACAAAAATAGAGCGAAAAACCCAAAGCAAAAACCGGGGGGTGATATGTCGGAGGACTCACTTCAAAGGGCCATAACATTTTTCAATCCATCGCTAAAAAAAACAGGGTGTACAGAGAAACCCTTTACGGCTCGCATAACGGGGATAAAACACCTCAATTTCTGGGGGCGCTTGAGGTTCCTGAACCTGTATTCCCTGGAACGCAGGAGGGAGAGATACATGATTATATACACCTGGAAAATCCTAGAGGGACTATTACCGAACTTGCACACGAAAATCACTCACTACGAAAGCAAAAGACTTGGCAGACGATGCAACATCCCCCCAATGAAAAGCAGGGGTGTCACTAGCACGTTAAGAGACCATACAATAAGTGTCAGGGGCCCGAGATTGTTCAACTGCCTCCCAGCATACATAAGGGGGATTACCAACAGACCCCTGGCAGTCTTCAAGCTGGCACTGGACAAGCACCTAAAGTCGGTTCCTGACCAGCCGGGCTGTGGCTCGTACGTTGGTTTGCGTGCAGCCAGCAGCAACAGCCTGGTTGATCAGGCTCTGATCCACCAGGAGGCCCGCGGGGGCGTTGACCCCCGGAACTCTCTCCAGGTAAACTCCAGTAGTATGGAAGTTTTGTGACTTTTGTGGAGGATCTGCAGATGGTCCCTACTTAGTGTCGTTATATTATCTCCTTGTTCCTGATTCTGTGTCGCAGTTGCTTGTTAGATTGCTATTGGGCTTAGCATTCTTTTTATTGTTCAAGCAGACTGTTCTGACTGCCAGTTGGTCAAGAAGTTAGTTTATTTGAGGACTTTGTCAGTCACTTGTTTAAGTCTAGTCAAGTCTTGAGACATAGCGAACTACTTAGAGCACTTACACACATACACAAACTTACTTGTACATATTTGTAATATCTTATTAAATGTTAATGTACCAGACGGTACTTAAGAATTATAAATGTGATATGTGCTTTCAGCACAATACTATTGTATACGAGAGAAGTGATTATTATTATTTTGATTACTGTGATTAATTTAATTTAATTTAATTTTATAATATACCTCTAGACTTAATAAATTTATTAAATTTTAATTTCTCTAGTTAGTAGCCTACCAGTTGTAATCCTGAAGCACTATTGAATCATACTGAATTCTAATGGATAATTGGACAAGGATACTGACTACTTGTTACGAAAACCCAGTAACAGGCTGGATGCTAGAAGGGCAGTCCTTTCTAGTATTCACTGGAGATCTCTAAGCTTTTAGAATCGCGTTTTTTGTAACATGGCTCTACTACTTTCCTACATCTCACCTCCTGGAGGTATATAAGACTCCATCCTCTCACTTCAACTCCATATTGTTTCAGACTATGGAACAATACTCTTCTCCAGACTGAGGGACTGACCACCTCAAACCTTCAAGGGTGATGGACTGATTACATCGTCTTCACGTCTCTTCTGCTTCTCTCAACTTTTCTGTACTCGACTGAAGACGCCTACTGTGTAGGCGAAACGTTTCGAAATAAAGATACCTAACTGTTGCATATGTGTCTTACCTAACAACCTGTCGGTATTTTATACAATTTTAATATTCCAATAAGGTAGAAGTTAATAAACTAAAGGAGGTAGTTAGGGTAAGATATAAGCAACTACTATAAGAAAGTGAGTGTATAAATAAGAGGTTGGAGAGGTATGGAATAGATATAAGAATACAGTGATAGAGAGAACAGCAGAAGTTTGTGGATATAGAAGAGTGGGAGGGAAAGGTAAGATGGAGGGAGGAAAGATCAGTGGTACCAGACAAAATGTTAACTTATGAGAGGGTTTTACAAGTGTAAAACAAAGGTGGAATATAGGAAGAGTAGAAAGGAGGTTAAGAGAGTGGTAAGGCAATGTAAACGATGAGCAAATAAGAGAGTGGGTGAGCTTCTCTCAACAAATTTTCCAGAGAATAAGAAAAACTTTTGGAGTTAGATTAATAGGTTGAGAAGCTTACATTATAAGAAGTCATCTTGACAAGCATGGATTCACGAAGGGCCGTTCCTGCCTAACTAATATACTGACTTTCTTCAGCAAAGCTTTTGAGGCTGTTGATCACGATTGTTTATTTGAATTTTAGTAAAGCTTTGGTACAGTACTGCACCAGAGACTGTTAAAGAAAGTAGCAGCTCATGGCGTTGGGGAAAAAGTGTTGTCATGGATCGAGTCATGGCTCATGAAGAGGAAGCAGAGTGTGCATAAATGGGATTAAATCTAAGTGACGTTCCACAGGGATCAGTTTTAGGATTTTTGTTGTTTATAATATATATGAATAACCTTGACTACAGAATTACTAGTGATATGAGCAAATTCACTGATAACACGAAGATAGGAAAGGATAATTGATCCAGAGAAGATGTCACCGAACTTCACGAGGATTTAGACAAACTCATGTCGTGGTCAGAGAAGTGGCAGATGCAGTTCATTGTAGATAAATGCTGAGTTCTGAAGCTCGGGAATGTCCACAACTTTAGCGCATATAGTCAAAATAATGTAGAACTTAACCATACAGAAATCGAAAAGGACTTGGGGGTTATGATAAGCAGCAACCTTAAACCAAGACAGCAGTGCCTAGGCACACCTACGAAGTCTAACAGATTACTGGAATTTGTATCAAGAAGTATTAGCAACAGAAGTTCATCGATAATACTACAGCTCTACACATCATTCTGTATAGCCCTTGTGGCTTAGCGCTTCTTTTTGATTATAATAATAATCTACACATCATTAGTAAGGACTCAAGTTTAGATTATGCAACACAGTTCTGGTCTCCATATTACAGAATAGATATAAATTCGTTAGAAAATATTCACCAAAGAATGACATAATTAATACATAGTATAAGAAATCTTCAATATGAGGAAAGACTGAAGTCCCTTAAAATACATTCTCTTCTAAGATGAAGAGTAAGAGGAGACATGATGAAGTGTATAAGTGGAAGATGGGTATTAACAAAGGAGATACAAATAACGTCCTGAGGATATCCCTCCAAGAGAGAACCGTAATAATGGATTCACATTAGATGAGTTTAGATTTAAAGAGGATATAGGAAAGTAAGTTGGTAGTAGGTTGGTAGACAGCAACCACCCAGGGAAGTACTACCGTCCTGCCAGATGACTGTGAAACAGAAACCTGTAACTGTTTTGCATGATGGTAGGATTGCTGGTTTCTTTTTCTGTCTCATAAACACGCTAGATAACAGGGATATCTTGCTACTCCTACTTACACTTTGGTCACACTTCACAGACACGCACATGCATATATATATACATACATCTAGGTTTTTCTCCTTTTTCTAAATAGCTCTTGTTCTTCTTTATTTCTTCTATTGTCCATGGGGAAGTCGAAAAGAATCTTTCCTCCGTAAGCCATGCATGTCGTATGAGGCGACTAAAATGCCGGGAGCAATGGCAGTAACCCCTTCTCCTGTAGACATTTACTAAAAAAGAGAAGAAGAAAAACTTTATAAAACTGGGATGCTTAAATGTGCGTGGATGTAGTGCGGATGACAAGAAACAGATGATTGCTGATGTTATGAATGAAAAGAAGTTGGATGTCCTGGCCCTAAGCGAAACAAAGCTGAAGGGGTAGGGGAGTTTCAGTGGGGGAAATAAATGGGATTAAATCTGGAGTATCTGAGAGAGTTAGAGCAAAGGAAGGGGTAGCAGTAATGTTGAATGATCAGTTATGGAAGGAGAAAAGAGAATATGAATGTGTAAATTCAAGAATTATGTGGATTAAAGTAAAGGTTGGATGCGAGAAGTGGGTCATAATAAGCGTGTATGCACCTGGAGAAGAGAGGAATGCAGAGGAGAGAGAGAGATTTTGGGAGATGTTAAGTGAATGTATAGGAGCCTTTGAACCAAGTGAGAGAGTAATTGTGGTAGGGGACCTGAATGCTAAAGTAGGAGAAACTTTTAGAGAGGGTGTGGTAGGTAAGTTTGGGGTGCCAGGTGTAAATGATAATGGGAGCCCTTTGATTGAACTTTGTATAGAAAGGGGTTTAGTTATAGGTAATACATATTTTAAGAAAAAGAGGATAAATAAGTATACAAGATATGATGTAGGGCGAAATGACAGTAGTTTGTTGGATTATGTGTTGGTAGATAAAAAACTGTTGAGTAGACTTCAGGATGTACATGTTTATAGAGGGGCCACAGATATATTAGATCACTTTCTAGTTGTAGCTACACTGAGAGTAAAAGGTAGATGGGATACAAGGAGAATAGAAGTATCAGGGAAGAGAGAGGTGAAGGTTTATAAACTAAAAGAGGAGGCAGTTAGGGTAAGATATAAACAGCTATTGGAGGATAGATGGGCTAATGAGAGCATAGGCAATGGGGTCGAAGAGGTATGGGGTAGGTTTAAAAATGTAGTGTTAGAGTGTTCAGCAGAAGTTTGTGGTTACAGGAAAGTGGGTGCGGGAGGGAAGAGGAGCGATTGGTGGAATGATGATGTAAAGAGAGTAGTAAGGGAGAAAAAGTTAGCATATGAGAAGTTTTTACAAAGTAGAAGTGATGCAAGGGGAAGAATATATGGCGAAAAAGAGAGAGGTTAAGAGAGTGGTGAAGCAATGTAAAAAGAGAGCAAATGAGAGAGTGGGTGAGATGTTATCAACAAATTTTGTTGAAAATAAGAAAAAGTTTTGGAGTGAGATTAACAAGTTAAGAAAGCCTAGAGAACAAATGGATTTGTCAGTTAAAAATAGGAGAGGAGAGTTATTAAATGGAGAGTTAGAGGTATTGGGAAGATGGAGGGAATATTTTGAGGAATTGTTAAATGTTGTTGAAGATAGGGAAGCTGTGATTTCGTGTATAGGACAAGGAGGAATAACATCTTGTAGGAGTGAGGAAGAGCCAGTTGTGAGTGTGGGGGAAGTTCGTGAAGCAGTAGGTAAAATGAAAGGGGGTAAGGCAGCCGGATTGATGGGATAAAGATAGAAATGTTAAAAGCAGGTGGGGATATAGTTTTGGAGTGGTTGGTGCAATTATTTAATAAATGTATGGAAGAGGGTAAGGTACCTAGGGATTGGCAGAGAGCATGCATAGTTCCTTTGTATAAAGGCAAAGGGATAAAAGAGAGTGCAAAAATTATAGGAGGATAAGTCTGCTGAGTATACCTGGTAAAGTGTATGGTAGAGTTATTATTGAAAGAATTGAAAGTAAGACGGAGAATAGGATAGCAGATGAACAAGGAGACTTTAGGAAAGGTAGGGGGTGTGTGGACCAGGGGTTTACAGTGAAACATATAAGTGAACAGTATTCAGATAAGGCTAAAGAGGTCTTTGTGGCATTTATGGATTTGGAAAAGGCGTATGACAGGGTGGATAGGGGGGCAATGTGGCAGATGTTGCAAGTGATGGTGTAGGAGGTAGGTTACTGAAAGCAGTGAAGAGTTTTTACGAGGATAGTGAGGCTGAAGTTAGAGTATGTAGGAAAGAGGGAAATTTTTTTCCCAGTAAAAGTAGGCCTTAGACAAGGATGTGTGATGTCACCGTGGTTGTTTAATATATTTATAGATGGGGTTGTAAGAGAAGTAAATGCGAGGGTCTTGGCAAGAGGTGTGGAGTTAAAAGATAAAGAATCACACACAAAGTGGGAGTTGTCACAGCTGCTCTTTGCTGATGACACTGTGCTCTTGGGAGATTCTGAAGAGAAGTTGCAGAGATTGGTGGATGAATTTGGTAGGGTGTGCAAAAGAAGAAAATTAAAGGTGAATACAGGAAAGAGTAAGGTTATGAGGATAACAAAAAGATTAGGTGATGAAAGATTGAATATCGGATTGGAGGGAGAGAGTATGGAGGAGGTGAATGTATTCAGATATTTGGGAGTGGACGTGTCAGCGGATGGGTCTATGAAAGATGAGGTGAATCATAGAATTGATGAGGGGAAAAGAGTGAGTGGTGCACTTAGGAGTCTGTGGAGACAAAGAACTTTGTCCTTGGAGGCAAAGAGGGGAATGTATGAGAGTATAGTTTTACCAACGCTCTTATATGGGTGTGAAGCATGGGTGATGAATGTTGCAGCGAGGAGAAGGCTGGAGGCAGTGGGGATGTCATGTCTGAGAGCAATGTGTGGTGTGAATATAATGCAGAGAATTCGTAGTTTGGAAGTTAGGAGGAGGCGCGGGATTACCAAAACTGTTGTCCAGAGGGCTGAGGAAGGGTTGTTGAGGTGGTTCGGACATGTAGAGAATGGAGCGAAACAGAATGACTTCAAGAGTGTATCAGTCTGTAGTGGAAGGAAGGTGGGGTAGGGGTCGGCCTAGGAAAGGTTAGAGAGAGGGGGTAAAGGAGGTTTTGTGTGCGAGGGGCTTGGACTTCCAGCAGGCATGCGTGAGCGTGTTTGATAGGAGTGAATGGAGACAAATGGTTTTTAATACTTGACGTGCTGTTGGAGTGTGAGCAAAGTAACATTTATGAAGGGGTTCAGGGAAACCGGCAGGCCGGACTTGAGTCCTGGAGATGGGAAGTACAGTGCCTGCACTCTGAATGAGGGGTGTTAATGTTGCAGTTTAAAAACTGTAGTGTAAAGCACCCTTCTGGCAAGACAGTGATGGAGTGAATGATGCTGAAAGTTTTTCTTTTTCGGGCCACCCTGCCTTGGTGGGAATCGGCCAGTGTGATAATAAAAAAAAATAAAAAAAAAATAGGAAAGTAATTGTTGAGAAATTGTTTACCAGTTAAGGTAAAAGATTAAATATAGGGAGTACTTAGCTGATAAGACAGCTATTGTCCATACAGCCGCCCCTGCAGACAAAGTCTTGAGAAGCTGCCTCATCCACTTCTTAATGGGCTGAAAAAGTATATTATGTATGATAATAAATTACCCCTAGGGGGTGTTATGTCAGCATATTTCATTCACTGATTGCTGACGGCACTTACTTGTGTGGACTTAAAGGTCCACTTATCACCGAGGTTTATGATAAGTGACTAACTCGTAACGTAGACTCAACTGCGCAGTCAATTGTAGTACATCATGAGTTAGAACACTTACCTGGGTATACGTATCTGACCCGTAGTTATGCCTGAGTTGATTGAAGAATAGTGTTCTTTGAAGAATGTCGCACTACACTCTGTTGGATCGCAACACTCGTTGTTACACTGTTCATTAATAATTGTTCACACAATATCACTAAAGAAGCTGATCACACTTCCCTGTAAGTGTTCATCGTGTTTTGTTAGACGCTTTGTTCACACTAACACATGGATCAGTGTTCTTTGTTGCTTATCCTGGTGTCAGTGTGACTCCCAGTAGGGTGAAAAGTAATCCGACCTCATAGCATCCTACGACGCTCCAATGCTCCTAGAACATAAAGGAAAAGCTGACCTAGTACTTTTTGCTTCCTTGCCAAATTTCCTCCATGAAGCAAAGCAGAATGCTTGATTCTTGTTGTCTTAAGCATAGACAACAATGTCCACTATCTTTATCATGGTAATAAAGTGGGAGCAAGATTTTCCTTAATTGTCCTGCTAAGGTAAGAGATGGACTGTCTCTTAAACTACACTTTACAACACTGGACTCTTGCAAGGAGTGGCGGTCGCTTGACCACGTCACATACTCGTACTGCATCTGAGATCAATTACTTGCTGTAGCAGTAAACAAGATGTATGCTCCTTCTGAGAGGGCTGGGCCCCACAGGTCTGAAAGGGGCTGAAAGGGGTTGAAGGGGGTTGATACCCCCATCCTGGAGAAAATTTCTCCACACTCGGGGGCGGCGGCGGTTCACTACAGGTGAACTGT